CATGTCACATAACTTATGTGCATACCTTGCTGTGGATTTAGCAAGTGGAAGCATTAAAGGAGTGAGGATAATTAGTCTTGAATAATGATAAAGGGTTATTAAGGTATATCGCTATCATAGTGGTATTATTTTCTGGTCTCGCATATATGTTGTAACATTATAATCATGTGGGGACGTCTTATGTATATGTATTATTACAATGTGGGACATCTCATGTATATATATTGTTACAATGTGGGACGTCTTATGTATACATATTGTCACAATGTGGGACGTCTCATGTATATATATTGTTACAATGTGGGACGTCTCATGTATATATATTGTTACAATGTGGGACGTCTCATGTATATATATTGTTACAATGTGGGACGTCTCATGTATATATATTGTTACAATGTGGGACGTCTCATGTATATATATTGTTACAATGTGGGACGTCTCATGTATATATATTGTTACAATGTGGGACGTCTCATGTATATATATTGTATACATATATATATTGTTACAATGTGGGACGTCTCATGTATATATATTGTTACAATGTGGGACGTCTCATGTATATATATTGTTACAATGTGGGACGTCTCATGTATATATATTGTTACAATGTGGGACGTCTCATGTATATATATTGTTACAATGTGGGGACGTCTCATGTATATATATTGTTACAATGTGGGACGTCTCATGTATATATATTGTTACAATGTGGGACGTCTTAAGTATACATATTGTTACAATGTGGGACGTCTCATGTATATATATTGTTACAATGTGGGACGTCTCATGTATATATATTGTTACAATGTGGGACGTCTCATGTATATATATTGTTACAATGTGGGACGTCTCATGTATATATATTGTTACAATGTGGGGACGTCTTATGTATATATATTATTACAATGTGGGGACGTCTTATGTATATGTATTATTACAATGGGGGACATCTCATGTATATATATTGAAACAATGTGGGACGTCTCTTGTATATATATTGTTACAATGTGGGACGTCTCATGTATATATATTGTTACAATGTGGGACGTCTCATGTATATATATTGTTACAATGTGGGACGTCTCATGTATATATATTGTTACAATGTGGGACGTCTCATGTATATATATTGTTACAATGTGGGACGTCTCATGTATATATATTGTTACAATGTGGGGACGTCTTATGTATATGTATTATTACAATGTGGGACATCTCATGTATATATATTGTTACAATGTGGGACGTCTCATGTATATATATTGTTACAATGTGGGGACGTCTTATGTATATGTATTATTACAATGTGGGACATCTCATGTATATATATTGTTACAATGTGGGACGTCTCATGTATATATATTGTTACAATGTGGGGACGTCTTATGTATATGTATTATTACAATGGGGGACATCTCATGTATATATATTGAAACAATGTGGGACGTCTCATGTATATATATTGTTACAATGTGGGACGTCTCATGTATATATATTGTTACAATGTGGGGACGTCTTATGTATATGTATTATTACAATGTGGGACATCTCATGTATATATATTGAAACAATGTGGGACGTCTCATGTATACATATTGTTACAATGTGGGACGTCTTATGTATATATTGTTACAATGTGGGACTTCTCATGTATATATTAATACAATGGGCGATGTCTCATGTATATATATTGTAACAATGGGGGACATCTCATGTGTAAATATTATAACAATGTGGGAATTCTCATGTATATATTGTTACAATGTAGGGACGTTTCATGTAAATATATATTATTACAATGTGGGACGTCTCATGTATATATATTGTTACAATGCAGGACATCTCATGTATATATTAATACAATGGGGGACGTCTCATGTATATATATTGTAACAATGGGGGACGTCTCATGTATATATATTGTAACGATGTTGTAATGATGTGGGGACGTCTCATGTAAACATATAGTTACAATGTGGGACGTCTCATGCATATATATTGTTATATTGGGGGATGGAGACTGTATCCAGGTATACAGTATAGATATAGACATTGATGATTCACTCTCCAGTCATTCATCAGTACCAGGTAAGCAGAGAAAGGTCTACATCTACACATAAAGTGTATGATGATGGCCTTGATCGTGACCCTACACACAAACACCACCAATCATACACCACTGATACACCAATAACAAACAGCTAACATAACACAATAATCAAGTGTATTAGAAATATATCGTAAAAAGCATCCTCTGTGTCACACAGTGTATTTCAGCATTACCGTAAAGTTCTAAATCAACTCATATTCATATCAGCTGGTAACACACTTGACTGCACAAGTGTATCTTGGTTTACTTAATTACTTTCAACACAGTTACCCCTGTCTACAACAATACTGTAAAAACATTGTTTGACCTTTATTTTTGTTGTTTTTGTTAGTACTATAAATCCACAAATTCACAAGTCCATGAACTTTTACAATTAGTATTTATAGATTAATTGACTTTTAATCATCTGAGAAATTAGGTATCCTTGAAAAAGTATTTTTTTAATACAACAAAAATTGAGACTCGAGAAAATATGACTTTACAGTTTATTGCCAAACCACTTTAAATATCATCTTAGTAAACAATGCTTTACTGTAAGAGAACTTTGTATGTTGTGGTGATGAATGTGATATATTGCAAAGTAAAATACTATCATTACAACAATATCAGACATGGTTTTTAAATGAGAATTTAATCCTTGGTATTCTAAAATAGCGAAACAATGATATATCTTTACTTTAAATGCCATCTACTTCACTGGACATCCTGGGCAACTACATGGAAATTTGAGATCAAAAATATAAGTTAAAATTTGAACATTTTCCATTGGCTGGTATAGATGACTGATTATATATGTAACATGAAGATCGCTTATTTGAAGGGAAAATGGTGTATTATATCTATGTGTCTGAATATATACAGGAAAACAGGCTCATGTTTCGTGGTTTATTGTTAAGAAACAAAATACTGAATACCTCTCATTTACTTTTGTGAGGTTTCAGTCAAAATCTACAATGCAGGAAACTGAACATTGGAAGAGTACAGGAAACATTCTTTTACTGACTGATGAAATATGCCACAACCCTGAAAATCATCTGACTGATGAGATATTATAACCAAGACAAACACATGACTGGTGAGATTTTATAACCTGAACAAACATCTGACTGATGAAATGTTATAACCAGGTCAAACATCTGACATGTCAAATGTCAAATCTCAGAATAACATCTGACTGGTCAGATGTCATACTTCAGAAAAACATCTGACAGGTGAGATGTCATAACCAGGACAAACATCTGACTGTTCAGATGTCATATCCCAGACAAACATCTGACTAATCAGATGTCATACCTCAGACAAACATCTGACTGGTCAGATGTCATATCTCATACAAACATCTGACTTGTGAGATGTCATATCCCAGATAAACATCTGACTGATCAGATGTCATATCTCAGACAAACATCTGACTGGTCAGATGTCATATCTCAGACAAACATCTGACTTGTGAGATGTCATATCCCAGACAAACATCTGACTTGTGAGATGTCATATCCCAGATAAACATCTGACTGATCAGATGTCATATCTCAGACAAACATCTGACAGGTGAAATGTCATATCTCAGACAAACATCTGACTTGTGAGATGTCATATCCCAGATAAACATCTGACTGATCAGATGTCATATCTCAGACAAACATCTGACTTGTGAGATGTCATATCTCAGACAAACATCTGACTTGTGAGATGTCATATCCCAGATAAACATCTGACTGATCAGATGTCATATCTCAGACAAACATCTGACTGGTGAAATGTCATATCTCAGACAAACATCTGACCTGTGGGATGTCATATCTCAGACAAACATCTGACTTGTGAGACGTCATATCCCAGACAAACATCTGACAGGTGAAATGTCATATCTCTGACAAACATCTGTCTGGTGAGACGTCATATCTCAGACAAATATCTGACTGGTGAAAGGTCATGACCAGGACAAACATCTGACTGTTGAGATGTTAAAACAAGGGAATTATTCCTTTGAAAATATCTGAACCTCAAGCAAAGAGCAGATGGACTAGATTGGTCTGTATAATTTTAATCACAGTTAAGGTAGGTTTTTTTAGACTCTAAAATGAAATATTATGAGTAGCAGTCAAAATAGACTTTCATTATAACCTGTAGCCAGGAGACAGAATCACGAGTCTTCACTGCAATGGCAAAGACAGTCAGGTATAACTAAAAGAAAGGTACATAACAAAGATATATATGAGGTAGTTACAACTGGAATCACTAAAGTAAATGGGATGTTTATCTCCATATTTTGCAAACTAGTGTTTTTTACATACAAAGGATCTGAAACTTATATGATTCAGTATTGTAAATGATATCTGAGTCACGTTTACAAAAACATAAAACGCTCCAAAACTGGAAAATCCCATGACAGTGCTGGCTGCAAAAAAAACTTTGATTTTGCAAGAATCACACCAACTATAAACTACAACAAGTCTACGTTGAATGACTTCAATATCAAAACGTAAAAAAAACATTATGATATAGCAAGAATATGGCCTATCAATATATCACCTATTAATGACATATATTTATGTATCAATATCACAGACACATTTCGCTGTGTGTTCCAGCATGGCTTAATCTAGGTCAGCAGGCTAGGTTATGATGCCCGCTTATTGATTCATTTGGAACAGGTAGTGTTAGTTCCTGGCACTTCAAACTTTCTTTTTGCGTCCGTAAACCCGACAACACTGAATCGGAAATTCTTGTTTCGACTTACCGTCAACAACATGTTGATACTTCTAAAAGTGATCCACTAGTAAACTTCTTTACACAAGAAAACACTCCTCCATTTTGGAAGCACTTGTTGACCTCGTGAGAACACAGACGAAACTGACAATAAACTTAAAACAAATTTTACCTTAGGAATGTGTCATGTTGGGTTGTTATTTCGTGGTTAAGTATTCCAGAACGAGACACAGCAAACTTTTCTAGCCAACCTTCATCGTCTCGTATCCTGAAGCCGCCATGACAGTGACGTCACGCTAACAGCAAGTGCGCTCCGTCTGGATTCGTTTACATGTTTTACGCTAGAGGTCGCCATTTACTCATTTTGACACTTTTTCGTCTCATTCAGAATTTCACGCGCCAATGTTTTTTTCGCGTGGTCTAACTTCTTGATTATAAATACAATGCCTCTTAGATGAATATAGGTCTACGCTCTTTCCATTAAAGTAGAACGAACAAGATAAAATAATTTCATTCAACCACAAATTTAGAATATCTGTTTAAGTCCGTGATAAAACTAACAAAAATTTAGGAAATCGAGAAATATTCGGATGCTTTGTTTCCTTAGAAAGTGTATGCACGTACCATCACTTAACCTCCCACTTGCAGCCTTAATTTGTGTTATAACTCAACAAAATATCATACACATATTAAATAGTAATAATAATAAAGAGAAGGTTTCAGCATTTGAGAATTTCAAGAAACTGTTAGATTCGATCTGAAATCTTTGTTTTTGGACGTTTAGGCTAATAGACCTGATTTGTCTCTATATATGTCAAATAAAAATACACAGACCATGACATAAATGACATCCTTTGAAAAATAACTTTTGGAGATTTTAACCAAAGATACTTGTATTATATTTTCAAAACTACACCAAAAACCTTAAAACAACGACCCAGTAAGACACTAATTACTGTCTACCGTCGCACATGTGATTTACACGCGGTATTTTTTGCAGCTTATTTATGTTGAGGATAAGGAGACCCCAGAAATTCCGCACCTGTAGAATCTTGGCTACTGCGAGGGACTCATTAATGAATTTGGGATTTACCGGCCTACCTGGAAATCACACACAGAATATATAAAGTACGCTGACTCGACCGACCTAATGCGTCAGAACATTCGTATCCTTACGTCATTTAAAGAAGGCAATGAAGATGAAAGAGAGTGTAATAAAGTCAATTCACTAAGCGTCGAATTAATTACAATGAGTTGGTACAGTACGGTACATAAAGAATTATATACCTAACATTGATAAGTATAAACCATACCTGTCAATCTATTTATAACTCTTCTCCTTAATTTGAATAATTAATTTCGTCAGTATTTTTATCAGTGTAAGTCATGACTGTCTCTAATGCCTAACTCTTTATAATTTATTTACTTATTCATCCAATACATTTTTTTAATTCGGACAAACCTTCAACACATGAAAGGTCATTAGGGCTAAAAAGTGTAAACAAAGTTGTATACTCTTTACTAGGAAGTGTTATATTCAAACACTAAACACAATATGAAGGTACAGTTTGTAATCAAACATTTTAAAATATTGCGACGGATTACGACCTATAGATAATTATGTAAATATTGTATCCACGCCGGCGACCCGGCGACAGGAACCTAATAAAAGTTAGCCATCATTGATGTACATCTTAGTTTGAAGCCAAAGCTAGGTTTTCATCTTCAAACAGATATAACATCAATATTCTATATCTTAAATACACAAATGGTTAAACAGTACAACACGAGCTTTGTTAAGATTGACACTCGAAGGAGAAGTGACAGGCATGTCCACCATGATATCCGCAATTTGATTATTGGACTTAGATAACGCATAAAAAGTAATTTTTGAGAGCTACATGTATGCAAATTATTTCCTTGTTATACACATTAATAATCCCAGTTTCTTCACGTAGGTTCGCTTAATTTTCATCAGCGTGATATACTGCAAACGTACATATTTTAGCGGTGACCTTATTCTAGAACCTTCTACGCTAAAAGTGCTACGCTAAAATATGATTGTGTATAACACTTTGAAATGTACTTGATCTGTTTATGTATATATATTTTACCAGATTTGATAAAAAGGTATGCTGATTTACATACATGTACATGTGATGACGGTCCAGGTGAAAGGGCGCGAGAGGTCTTACATGTGGAAAGAAAGCGAAATCACTAGTTGAAACCCACGTGGTCGGGCAGGTGACTCAATACCTTTTTATGTGCGATCGAGGAATCGAACCCTAGTCGCAGAGACAAGAAGTCAGAAAGGGAAGCACTACAGATAATCCTCTGTTTATCCCATTACATGTTATCGTGGCCCGCAAAAAGGCGTTTTCCTACATGTAATTTCTCCTACTCCGGAGCACAGGAACTTGGCACGAATTCCCAACCCAAGGACCATATATGTGTTAGATCGGAGTTGTTGATAACAAAAACTGATTTGTCCCAATTACAACATCGGGACTTACGACATTTTCCTTACTTTTCCTGCGAGAAAAGCACTTGATTATTAAATAAAAATAAAAGCTAACATAGTCTTGCTAGTGTCGTTCAATTATTTTTATCCGCGTCGCTTTTACTCTATCATAAGCATTATATTTATTCCGAAATCAAAAATATTGGATCACAGACTTCGAAAAATTATCAAAATCTGTGTCTGGATGCGAATAGGCAGACATAACAAAAGACAATAGTGTTGGTAGAGTAACACTCCTACATAATGCCAGGTAGTCAATGGTCTATTTGCAATTCACGGATGGAAAAATACTGTAAGTGTACTCTTTATGGCTTTCTTTGAAAATATGACAAGAAAAGGTAAAAAGCACCAGTGTCTTCAATACAAAGAAAAACATATGATATGCTTATTAAATAATTATGTATAGATCCTATTTAGAAGATGATGTGTCCTAGGAGATTTAACAGAAAAGAAGGGAGGAGAGAACAAAAAACACATACTCGTAGTCAAATGATGATTTAACAAATAAGATTTCTTATAATCACGTATATCAATCTACCTTATTAAATACAGATATTTAAAATCTCAATGAAATTAATTAGACCTAGATATTGCCTGATAAGGCTTCCAGTGACGTCATGTTTGTCCTTCGGTTGATTTTAAAGTAGAGTTTTTAGTATTAAACAAAAGTTAAGGGTGCATGTAGCTAATCATTCACGAAAAAGTAGTTCCACATAATTAGATAGCACCTCAAAGATAATTTGAATCACCATTGTTCGTGTGTCATTGAGTGCGTGCACGTGGTAAACAACTATTATGTCTGGTGTCGTATGGCCCTCCACGAAGGCTTTTCTTGTTTGTGATGTACTCAAAATCCTATGACTTTACAGCTTAAATGGCTGATTTGTTTTGACGTAACCAAAATAACACGATGCGATGACAACTGACAGTGCATGTTCAAAAGCCTTCCTCGATCGCAGGTGACACAGTATTCCATAGCGAGAGGATACTTTGCACGATTATGGCGGAATATGGATATTTTCACAAGGTCAAAGCAGAGTTGAAAACGATGATAAAATCATTAAAAATGTGACTGAGAAGTGATCTAGTTAAAACATTAAACACAAAAAATCAACTTTAAGCTAAATCTCTATTGAATGGATTATGGAAATTCAAGGCCACATCTTTCTTCTATAGGTACAATGACCATCCCAGGTCGCCACCCTCTCCATATCATGTGACTAACTCAGGTCACCTCTTCCCAATAAATACTATGACTACCTCAGGTCACCTTTCCTCTCCATGTACTATGACTACCTCAGGTCACCTCTCCTCTCTATGTACTATGACTACCTCAGGTCACCTCTCCTCTCTATGTACTGACTACCTCATTTCACCTCTCCTCTCTATGTACTATGACTACCTCAGGTCACATTTCCTCTCTATGTACTATGACTACCTCAGGTCACCTCTCCTCTCCATGTACTATGACTACCTCAGGTCACCTCTCCTCTCTATGTACTATGACTACCTCAGGTCACCTCTCCTCTCTATGTACTATGACAGGTCACCTCTCCTCTCTATGTACTATGACTACCTCAGGTCACCTCTCCTCTCTATGTACTATGACTATCTCAGGTCACCTCTCCTCTCTATGTACTATGACTATCTCAGGTCACCTCTCCTCTCTATGTACTATGACTATCTCAGGTCACCTCTCCTCACTATGTACTATGACTACCCCAGGTCACCCCTCCTCTCTATATACTATGACTATCTCAGGTCACCCCTCCTCTCTATATACTATGACTATCTCAGGTCACCTTTCCTCTCTATGTACTATGACTACCCCAGGTCACCTCTCCTCTCTGTGTACTATGACTAACTCAGGTCACCTCTCCTCTCTATATACTATGACTATCTCAGGTCACCTTTCCTCTCTATGTACTATGACTACCCCAGGTCACCTCTCCTCTCTGTGTACTATGACTAACTCAGGTCACCTCTCCTCTCTATATACACCTCTCACCTCTCTCTATGTACTATGACTACCCCAGGTCACCTTTCCTCTCTATGTACTCAGAATACTTTAGGTCATCTCTCCTCTCTATGTACTGACTAATTCAGGTCACCTCTCCTCTCTTTATACTATGACTACCCCAGGTCACCCCTCTTCTCTGTATACTATGACTATCTCAGGTCACCTCTCCTCTCTATGTACTATGACTATTTCAGGTCACCTCTCCTCTCTATATACTATGACTATCTCAGGTCACCCCTCTTCTCTATATACTATGACTACCTCTGGTCACCTTTCCTCTCTATATACTCAGACTACTTCAGGTCATCTCTCCTCTCTATGTACTGACTACTTCAGATCACCTCTCCAGCCTATATACTGTGACTACCTCAAGTGTCTTCACCTCTCTATATACTGTGACTATATCAGGTCAGCCACCTCACCCTCTATAAACTGTGACTTTATCGGTCACTTATATACTGTGACTCCTTCAGGCCAACCCTGCCTTCTATCTGCTGACTACCCCAAGTCACCACTCACCTCTATGTACAGTGATAACATCAAGCCCCTCCCCTCTTTAAAAACTCTGACTACTCCGTAAATCTTCCCTCTCTGTTACCTGTGATTACATCAGGTCACACACCTCAGCCTCTATAAACTGTGACTATGTAGGCACTTTGGGTAGTACAACTCACCTACTCTCCCTGTGACTGTGACTACCTCAGATCACCTCCATTCT